ATTGAAATTACCTCACATCTTTAAGACCTTTTCCGATATATTAATTTGTTATTGATTATAAGAACATTAATATATTCGAGACCACAAAAACCATGCAAATAAATCTGCCGACTGTTTGGCCCAACTAATAAAGCGCCAAGTAACGGTACAGCAGGTCAAGGTTTGAGTCCCGCACGGCATGAACATTCTATCTTCGTGAAGACGGCTGTTAGACAGTCTGTAGTCCGAAACACCAGTATCCGCTGGTCCTTTACACTCATAGCATTAAACTTGATGACCTACGACTACATAAACAAACCAAAACCCCATTATCGAATTCATTGAGTCATTTTGTAGGCAGCCATGCTACTACCCAAACTTCAGACAAATTTTCAATCAGAGGAAGGTGAGTCTCACCGGAAAGTAATGCTCATAAACAAGAGGTAGCGCGAAAATACACCTTTTTCCCAGTTCCATAAGCGATGCCGAACAATTTTGCAAGGTTTTCATATGGACTCACCCTGGTAACTGTTTCTATAATGAGAATTTCGCCCTTTTTAAAAGGCAGATCCTAAATGAAAAAGAAGATTTGTCAGCCCTTCAACCCAGCAGTGACTTGTTTTCATAGTTAACTCATATCCTTGAGAGAGAACAGACATAAAAGATTAACATTTCAATTATTTGGACCGTTTGACCAGATGTCAATGATTTTAACATTGTACCCTTGTGTAAGCCAACCCTTTTAGTAAACTTTTCTTCCAAAAAAACTAAAGGAAGCATATTGCTATAGATGCTTAGTGAAAGCTTCTTTGAAGAATTAGCAAATTAGCTTTGTTCCTTTACGTTTACAAACGACAAGGAGTCAAGTTAAAAATGGTGGGCTCAATTTTCGGCTTGTCAATATTTTCCAAGTTCAGAATCTTAATGAAATGATGAAACACAAAAAAGAGGCTCTCCTGGATGTACATAACTAATCACTTTTGAAATTTCTAGCTCGTAAAGAAAATTATGTGACCTTTGGCGTGAGTAATTAGTCACCAATGTAACATCACCACTATCTCAAACACAAGTCAATTTTTGATAAAATCATTAAAATGCTTACCTCTCTTGTACGCCCCTTGAAATCATATTTTCCCACCACTCTAGTTCCAGGAGACCACACTATTCTCTGAGAAGAATACAGCATAAAAAGTATGCACCTATTTAAAAGTGTTCTCTCACAGCAAGTATAAACCACAAACGATGTGATCTAATTACTTCAAAATTGCTTTAAGTGGGGCAGAGAGACAAATCTTTATCATCAAGTGAAGTACAAAATTGATGAAATAAATAGCCTTCTCTGAAGTGTTCTGGGAGGGGGAATAAACCGCATTTCTGTGATTATCAAGCTCCATCTGCCGTCGCATAAAAAATGTGGTTCTGTTTGAATAGCTGACTTATCTAAGTAGGTGGACGTTTTTCTGGCATTTATCGTGTTCCTGGTACCAACTAAAAACTGAAAATGAAGTCAGTATTGAAATGCATACCATGCTTGGGCACACTAATACCGTCAAATTACTCTGCCAAGTAGATATGTACCAAAATGTTGCTCTTCAACCAGAACACCTCCTATTGGTCATTATTTTTCACGACGTTAGGTAAGATAACCACCTACTTACCTCAGTAGCATTTTTTCCTGGGGCAGTGTAACTTTCTGGTGCGGCATCTCTTTGTGGCCCAGCATTTTCTTTTGTCGCAAACAGCTGAAAAGGCAGAAATAACTATTGATGATGACTATTGAAATGCATCCACTGCTTGGACATCTTAACTCCGTCAGATTAACTCTGGCAAGAAGATATGTACAGACATGTTACTCTTCAGCCAGAACACCTTCTTTTGGTTGCTACTCTAAGTTAGGTAAGAAAACCACTAAATTACCTCAGCAGCATGCTTTCCTGGGGCAGCGTTGCTTTCTGTTAAAGCATTTTTTTCTGGTGCAGCATCTTGTTCTGCTTTAAACAGCTGAAAAGGCAGAAATAAAAGTCCGTTGGCCTCTGAAAACTTTAGCACTGTCTTCTGAAAATTTATCATTTCCAATTCGAGACTCTAGCCGACTCGCTCAGGTGCCTCGAATCCAAAATAAGACATATTTA